AATTCATTTTCCAAGTTCCAAGGAAAATTTGGTCTTTCAAACATGGTCAGGGTCCGTTTGATTGTAAAGTGGAAAATAGGTGGAAATAAAATATTGTACATGGAATTGAATTGCCTAGAAATTATTAGTATAATTTTCCATTTGGAAAATGTTGAAAGTTTGGTATCCGCTTGGTTTCGTTTTTCATGGAAATTATCCATAAAAGTGATGATTTTTTCTAGCATTGGATCTAGAATTTGTTTCAATTGCAAAAAATAAAAAAATTACCATACCAAATACCATTCGTTTGACTTTATTTTGTATGTAAATTGTCAATAAAAATGATAATTTTTTTTACCATTGCATCTATAATATTTTTCAATTGTCAAAAAAAAAAAAAAAGACCAAACCTGAAAAATGGATTCTTACCAAAATCTAAAGAAAACAAATTCATCATTTCTAAGGAAAATTGGGCGCGTGAATTTAGATGGGAAAAGTAATTCCATTGAAAATATTTGGCATCAAACATTCACTAAAGGTGGGATAAGGAAAATCTTTTCCAACTTCCATGAAAAATGTAACATATCAAATAGGGTCTTAGGCTATGTTTGATAGCCTCTCTTTTCCATGGAAAATGGAAAACATTTTCCTTTTCCATGCAAATGAGTTGTTTGATAGGTAAAATTTAGCCAAGAAAAAGTTTTCCCTCTCCCCCCTCCAAGGCCGGCCTTGTGCCGAGGCAAATGAGGCCGACGCCTCGAGCCCAAAAAAGGAGGGGGCCTATTTTTGGCCCTATTTTATTTTTTTAATTAAAGGAGGAAAAAAGGAAATCCATTGTCATTACCTCCTGCTCAACCTTGCCTTTTCATACTCCACCGACGACTCTTCCAACTCCAATCGGACCGATGATGGGTGACCGACAATGTCCTCCAACTACAACCAGTGAAAAGATTAAAAAGAAGGTAAGATTTCTTGAGAATCTGTTTTTGTACCTTTATGGCCTACCTGGCCTTCTTTGGAATTTTTTGGTATTACCATACTGGTTATGGTGTTTCTATATTGCTAGTTTTGGGAGTTCATGAAGGGTTCGATTTTGAGTGCACATATGTTGGCATATTTTTTTTTTTCCTACAATTAGTATTTGCTCACTATCCTTTCCAGTTCTTATAAACAGTTTGATTTGGACAATTTTTGAGTTATTTTCTAATCAAATCATACCATGCGAGGAAGTCCAAATTGTCCATTTATCATTTTCCATTTGCAATACAGTTTGGTTTCAAACCATATTGTGGCCTATGGGCAAAAAAATTTATCTCCATTGTGAGGGGACAAGATGATGTTTTTAACTGAATTTTACTTGGAGCATGTTTGCCTGAGCTTAAAGAGCAAAAAATGAAGTTACTTCTAAGGGACCTTTTGTTCTCAATTATGTTAGTTAGTTTACTGTTTCCTTTACCTTAAAAGAAAATGGATTTTGTTTCTTTTCAAGTACTTGTTCGAAGAGTTACAATGAGATTACAACATGGAGCAACATGAATATTTTCAGTATTAATGTGTATTGCATTATAAAGATTGTCATATAAGTTAAAGCGCAACCAAACATAAGTTGTTGTTGAGAATTTTGAACCGGGGATCATTAATCATTGATGTTGTCTGAATTTTTTGTGTTAAATTTCTCTTATGAAGGGTTCGGTTTTGAGTGCACTAAATATATTATGAGTTCATAATTTTCCTCCACTGTGGAATTCTCAAGGGTGTGATAATGTGATTTCATAATTTTCTTCAAAATTCTACTTCTTAGGTAAGCGATGGCTTGTCCTAACTGTTATTGAATATATTAGAAATGTTTGAAGCTTTGTCGGCTTATACTTCTTAGGTGCAGTGCACGTAGTAACGTAGTAACTATATTAAAAACTTTAATTGTAAGATGACTGAGATATTTTGTAATTGTCTTTTATGTTAATCGTTGGGCATTAGGTATAGATTCATACATCATCCTTCCTAGATATAGATTAATACACTGTTGAATTTTGGATTTACATTGATTTTAGGAGGCCTAATTTATGGAGTTCGCCTCGAGCCTCGAAACTCACAGGACCGACCCTGCCCACCTCCCACGTGCCATTTTCCTTGAAATTGTGGAAGTGGGAAAACCTTTTTCAGGTTCTTCCATAATTTTTTTTTTTTGCAATGTTAACAAATTTCATAACCAATTGCAAATTTTTTTTTCACTTTAATGGACAATTTCCATGTAAAACGAAATCAAGCGAACACTAAATTTTGATAAAAAAATTAGTTTTCAAGCAAAATTTTCTTTTTTTTTTAATTTTTTGTCAATGTTAACAAATTTTATAAGCAATTGTAAAAAAAAATCATTTTTAATGGACAATTTTCATGTAAAATAAAGTCAAACGTGAACAAAAAAATCCAAACTTTTAAAAATTTTCTAAGTGAAAAATTATATTAATCAAACACACTTAGAGCCTGTTTGGTAAATGATACACATTGAACACATTGTTAAATCTACCTTCTTGTTAGGACCATTGACTTTGAACACTCATTTTTATAATCTATTAGGCTATGTTTGATAGCCTCTCTTTTCCATGGAAAGTGGAAAACATTTTCCTTTTCCATGCAAATGAGTTATTTGATAGGTAAAATTTAGCCAAGAAAAAGTTTTCTCTCTCCCCCCCTCCAAGGCCGGCCTTGTGCCGAGGCAAATGAGGCCGACGCCTCGGGCCCAAAAAAGGAGGGGGCCTATTTTTGGCCCAATTTATTTTATTTTTTTAATTAAAGGAGGAAAAAAGGAAATCCATTGTCATTACCTCCTGCTCGACCTTGCCTTCTCCAACTCCACCGACGACTCCTCCAACTCCAATCGGACCGATGATGGACGACCGACAATGTCCTCCAACTACAACCAGTGAAAAGATTAAAAAGAACGTAAGATTTCTTGAGAATATGTTTTGTACCTTTATGGCCTACCTGGCCTTCTTTGGAATTTTTTGGTATTACTATACTGGTTATGGTGTTTCTATATTGCTAGTTTTGGGAGCTCATGAAGAGTTCGATTTTGAGTGCGTATGTTGGTATATTTTTTTTTTCCTACAATTAGTATTTGCTCACTGTCCTTTCCTATTCTTATAAACAGTTTGATTCGGACAATTTTTGAGTTATTTTCTAATCAAATCATACCATGCGAGGAAGTCCAAATTGTCCATTTATCATTTTCCATTTGCAATACAGTTTGGTTTCAAACCATATTGTGGCCTATGGGCAAAAAAATTATCTCCATTGTGAGGGGACAAGATGATGTTTTTAACTGAATTTTACTTCGAGCATGTTTGCCTGAGCTTAAAGAGCAAAAAATGAAGTTACTTCTAAGGGACCTTTTGTTCTCAAATATGTTAGTTAGTTTACTGTTTCCTTTACCTTAAAAGAAAATGGGTTTTGTTTCTTTGCAAGTACTTGTTCGAAGAGTTATAATGAGATTACAACATGGAGCAACATGAATATTTTCAGTATTAATGTGTATTGCATTATAAAGATTGTCATATAAGTTAAAGCGCAACCAAACATAAGTTGTTGTTGAGAATTTTGAAATGGGGCCATTAATCATTGATGTTGTCTGCATTTTTTGTGTTAAATTTCTCTTATGAAGGGTTCGGTTTTGAGTGCACTAAATATGTTCATAATTTTCCTCCACTGTGAATTCTCAAGAGTGTGATACTGTGATTTCATAATTTTCCTCAAAATTCTACTTCTTAGATAAGCGATGGCTTGTCCTAACCGTTATTGAATATATTGGAAATGTTTGAAGCTTTGTCGGCTTATACTTCTTAGGTGCAGTGCATGTAGTAACGTAGTAACTATATTGAAAACTTTAATTATAAGATGACTGAAATATTTTGTAATTGCCTTTTATGTTAATCGTTGGGCATTAGATATAGATTCATACATCATGTTTCCTAGATATAGATTAATACACTGTTGAATTTTGGATTTACATTGATTTTAGGAGGCTTAATTTATGGAGTTCGCCTCGAGCCTCGAAACTCACAGGACCGGCCCTGCCCTGCCCCCCTCCCACGTGCCATTTTCCTTGAAATTGTGCCTTAACAAATTTCATAACCAATTGTAAAAAAAAATTTCACTTTAATGAACAATTTCTATGTAAAACAAAATCAAACGAACACTAAATTTTGATAAAAAATAAATTTTCGAGCAAAATTTTCTTTCTTTTATTTTTTGTCAATGTTAACAAATTTTATAAGCAATTGTAAAAAAAATTTATTTTTAATGGACAATTTCCATGTAAAATAAAGCCAAACGTAAACAAAAAAAATCCAAACTTTTAAAAATTTTCCAGATGGAAAATTATATCAATCAAACACACTTAATTACAATTCTCAATAAAACTTTTTCTATAAAAATCTTTTCTCTATAAAACATTACCCATTTTCCACCATTGCAATCAAACGGACCCTGGTGTTTTTTTGGCGGCAAGGACGGCATCATCTGTGCCTATGAAGTTCAGTCCATGTTTATTTGCTCAATGGATATTTTTATATAATATTTACTTTATTATTACGTGAGTTTGTTTCTATTTTAACATACACATATGTATAAAAAAATTATTATTATTATTAAAAATCATAATAAAATTTATCTTCACAAATATAATAGTTTGTTTGGGAGGAATTTTAATCCAATTAAAATTGAAAATATAATCGTTATTGGGTCTCACTCATCTAATAAAAGAAAATAATAACGACTAATTTTTCAATTTTAATCCGATTTTAATATGTAACACTTTTTGTTTGTTAGTTTTTTATAAAAATAACTTTAAAGATAGAGAGAGTTGATTGCTTGAAATAATACGAAATAAAAGAAAACCTAGAAATCAACGCACCAATACATGTGCCATGACCCATTACGTTATCTAATTATAAATGAAAAAAGTAAATATAAAATAAAAATCAGGATAAATTGCAAATTTAGTCCCTGGCTTCTTTCTTTTCTTTTTAATTTGTCTTTTGAGATTTTTTTAAAATTTTTCTTTTATGTTTTTTGGGTTGCTTTATTCTGTTCTGCATATTTAAATTATAGGGTAATATTAAAAAAAAAAAATTGGATCAAAATCTTGCACAGAGACTATGTATAGCAATTTCTCAAAAATTGGGGACAAAAGCTATATGAAGAATAATTGAGGACATGATCACTATTTTTACCAAAGGTTGCAGTAAATTTGCAATTTACTTCACAAGTTTATTAAAGAAAAACTTTTACTAAATAAACGATGCTACCAAAATTGTAAGTGGCGTTTGGTAAACTTGTAATGCTGTAGATAATGTGGAGTGGATACGATTAGGGTAGATAGTATTAAGTAGATATGATTAGGTGGATACATGACGTATTGTTACTATATTGTGCTTGGTGCGATGCTTTCTATAAATAAAATGTAAAAATATTTACAAATAAAATACTTATTAACAATATCTTTTGATACGGTTAAAAAAGTAAAATAATTTTTAGTAACTCTTTGTCAACAAATACGTTTAGATAAACCCCTCACCCCACATACAAGGAGGGGGAAAAAAAAAACACCGATAGTATCCTCCGCATGTTTTCCTTACTTCTAAGCTTAGCCAAACAATCCCTTACAAGCCATTTCAAGATTTGGCACACACTTCAAAATGACTTGCAAGTATTAACTTCTAAGATTGACCAAACAATATCTTGTAAGCCATTTTTAAGAATTGTCAAGCACTTCAAAATAAGTTATAATCCATTACAGGCTTATAAGCACCTCCAAGTATATTTCAAGGCCTCTTTTGTTGGAAATTAAGGTTAAAGCCAAATGGAATTCCACAGTAAATAATACGTTTCCATACCCCTCTTAAGGCATTTCTGCTCCCTTTGCCCATCAAAACAAATCTTCAGTAAAGGCATGTCTGGCCAAGTCTAAAAGTTACCTTTTTGCCATACATTTTCGAGTTATTTTAGAAGTTAGTTTTTTGAGGTATTGCAGTTCAAAGACCTACTCTTTTAAAAGTAAGCCTTACTTGGCTAAAAATGCTCCAAGTCTAGTTAAAAGGTATCCACCCCATTGTCCCATAAAATCACATCCAAAAGCTTTACTCGTGTCAAGACAAGAACATCAAATATGTACCAAATTCATAGAAAGTCTGTTGCAGGGTAAATTTTCCCATATCTGCAAGGTCAGTGTTCCCGTATTGCAGTGGTCGTGTGGGCAAAATATCTTGGTTGAGTTTTTTCTTTCTGTTTCTCTCTCCGGGGGCAGGGTTTGTTAATATAAAGATCCTTCCCTGCTAATTTCGTTCACCAAAACGGACATTTTGTAACACATAATCACATGTAGGGACCCAGGAACAATCTTATTCCATCGACAGCAGCAGAAAAAAAAAGGTCTTTCTTAAGACAACATGAAGAACCATTGCCTGGAAGCCAAGTGTATGTCTGGCAAAGCTTAAATCATAATTTAAGCTAGTCAAACATACTTCTTATCCACACATTTTGTAGGACCACAACTATTGGTCACTTATTACCCACACATTCCCTAGTATTCATAACTTATAATCACTTAAAAGCATTACCAAACATACTTTTTTTCCAGGAAGGGGAGGGGGGTGTTCAATGATCATAAACTCGAGGCATAATAAACAAGTTTGATTAAACTCAGACACGGAAAAGAAGCTGTTGTTAAGCATTGGTAGAATCATGCTCACTATATAACAACTACAAAGTGAAAAGTACAGTTAATAATAAAAAAATTGAAATCAAACAGTTCTTGTTCAGTATTGTTTCATCTACACATAATTTCAGCTATCTTTGATGTATGTTCTTTTATAAACAAAGCTATGATTTCAAAAACAGGATGAAAAAATTTTCAAGTACAAATCAAATATGTGAATCATCACCTCTCGGACATGGTTAAAGAGGAAACCAAGTCAAGCAGCAGTTCTATGGCTCGAAGCACGGCATTTTTCTTCATTCATGACAAAACAAGCACAAACCCCATAGTATAGCAATTCACGAATATTGCCAAACAAGGAACTTACAAGAATTTATTATTTCGCTTCTCAGGAATTTCAAGTTGGGAAGGCATGAGATTCAGGAAGCTTCCTTGAGACGATGGACTACCAGCCTCTGATGTTTCTGTTTCGTCCTCTATTAGAAAAATAAGTTTTGTTGGTAAAAGTAACTTTTAAAAAATTATCTTTGGCAAAACAAGTTTGTAAGGTCTAATTCTTTTAAGTTTAGCCAAGCATGAATATTAAACCAAAACTCACATTCATGTATTAGTGTTCCCATAAAGGCGTCCAAATTGGCTACAATTAAAGGTTGAATATGCTCTTGAAAAAGTAAATGGAATGTATAAACATACCAAAGAGTGATTTGATTGTTGGCCTCTTCGGCTTGCTATTTTTCTTCTTCAGTTCAGCTATGGAAAAGAAAAGAGATCTAAAATCAATAACAAGAAGAAATACATCATCATTCAGAAAAAAGTCAAAAAACCAACAATTGTGATGGCCACACCTGCAAAATTTAGCCGCAGAAAGGCCATGAATAGCATGCACAATATAAAGTATAAACATAGGGAGTTTGTGAAAGCCTCACAAACATGACATTCTAACGTGTGTTTGTGTAGCCACATGCAAGAAAGTTTGTGCGAGAGAGAGAGAAAGAGAGAGCGAAAGAGAGACCGACCCATTCCAGGCACTTGGTAGTCATTCACGATTTCAAAGTTCTTGTACGTGTAACCAACAAAGTTAATATCTTTGGACGAAATCATCTACATAGTGGAAGGAACAAAATAAATGCAAAGATAAAACAGAATTGAGATGAAGAAAGTATTCATAATGCATTCGAAGATAGTAGTAAAGCTTGCCGTGTTCACAACAAGTGGAAAACCTAATAAGATTTGACTGAGTACATGACATTGAACAAAAACTAGTAGTCTAGAATCTTAAGAGAAGAATGTCTCTAACAAACAAATGCAACTTTGGGCTAGCATCATAATTTCTTATGCTCCAAAAATAATTTCTAATTTTATTTTTCGAAACTGAATTGGTCTATGGCTTTGCCTACTTGTTTATTAGAGGTTCAAGTCAAACAAACACTCTTGTTAGGGATGAAAGTAGTGCATTTATTTGATTGTCTAGTTTTAATTACACCTGTAACTTAGAAGACAAGTACAGCTTTTCTATTACATCCTGCATCAGTACCTTTCTCCATGGACCAGATTTTGATGAAGTGTGAGCTTGGGTATCAGACTGCGACCAGAAAAAATCATGGTTAGCTACATGTCTACTTGCAAAGAAATCTAAACTCGTTGTAAAGAAATCTAATACCTCCTCAAATTTCTCAAAATTTTGGGTGTCCAGCTCATTTTTTACTTCAGGAATGAATGCAGCTTCCATATGATATATTCTGTCCCAGTCAATTCCCTTGAACCAGCGGTGAGCCTAAGTCAAAAAAGAAGCCCAGCAATTTACATAATTTTCCATCAACTCCTGGAATTGATAAAAGAACATAGCATAGGACACACCACACAACACCTTTATTTCATCAGCGCCTTTTGAACCGAGCCTCTGGTTGACATTACAAAGTAGTTTGCTCACAAGATCTTTTGCTTCTAAAGATAGCTTTGCCTCTTCTGGAAACTTTAAATGTGTTCTCCAATTCACTATCTGCACATAAAAATAAGTAAAATTCTTGAGTTAATGTATTCCTTAGGTTCATTTACTTCTTTTCCTATGTCAAATAAGCATGGGCACAGTGGTAAATTTGAAATATGAACATATCAATGTGGGTAATGACTAAGCAGGCCCCGTGTGCGGAGTTCACACAACTGGTTAAATATCCCATTGTTCCTCAATAGCTCAACAGAAGAGCAGCTTGGTTGTTTACCAGTTGGTAGTCAGTATGATCCCACTTGCGGAGAATTGTATTTCTCTGAAATAACAAATTCACAATAAAGGATCTTTCTTTGACTGTTAATAGTAGGTAGCATGTTACCAGTCTTTGAATCCTTTGTTCTATAGCCCTGGCTCTATCTACATCTAGCCAAGATGTCCTATCAACATTTCAAACATGCACTCATTCATCTCTCAAGAGGTCGAAATTGCCACAGGCAAATATAATAGTGACATGGAAAGAATGTCAGCTACCAGTGTGTGTACTTGCTCTGCTTTCTATGAGGAAGAGCTTGAGGCATAAAAACAGAAGAATACGTTGATAGGCTGGGTACACAACTGTGTAATGTTGAGTTGTGTGGAGCCTGACTATACTGAACACCCAGCCACAACAGGCGAAATTTCACACTAGGGTATTTTGGGTATTTACTTTGTATTAGGGTTTTTCTT